CCCCAAAACCCCAAAACCCCAAAACCCCAAAACCCCTTAGATTAAGAACATTATTGAATAAAATGAATTATTTTAGGAGGAATAGTGAAGAGGGGTCAAAGGTTTTTGATAAGGAGAAGAAGTTGACACAGATAGGAAGGACACCGTCTAGTTTCTTTAAAAATCCAAATGCAACGATGGAGACTTGAATCAATTCATATGATGGTAAAAGTTTATTGGGATGATGAATGAAACAGAGTTGGAGTCATAGTCGATTTTTTGAGATCTTAGAGTCTTTATGAGCTTAATAAAGCAAATAGTTTGAGAGGTGGTATTTTTAATTCTTTATCGAGATACTTATTCAGAGCGAGGATTTATCTAAAATATCGATAAATTCTTCATTTCAAAATTCATGTTTATCAAAATAAGCTTTAACTTAATCCCTCATAGTCAAAAATATCAACCTGAAGAAAACAAAAATAAACTCAATAGAGCGAGGTCCAAACTCAAAGATTTTCGATAAGGAATTTTCGATGAGGAGATTCTGTAAGTAATTATATTTTTAATTTTTCTCTAAAACATTATATGACTTTAACAGCGAGGAAACCTATCCAGACTCTTGAGAATACAAAGAGAGAGCCTTCCAATACTCAGAAAGCATACAATAACTTATCTTTGCCTCATTTTAGGATGAAATGTAGGATTTATTTACAAAAGTTTAGTGCCTAAAAATAAGCATGATAAGCTTTCTCAAGTTATTAAGAACAGGATCCGTCAAAGTACCATCCCCCGCTAACATGTATAGATACAACAGATGTCAGAGATAAAGCCAAACAAGAAATATCAGGTAGATTCCCTAATTCTCATAGTTAGAAATGCTACATTCCAACAAATTCCGAAATAATATTAGCAGGCCTAAGAAGAATAAGACCGTTATTCATCAGCCATCTGCTGAAGAAATCCAGAAAATAAACATTAACGATCTAACGTAAGAAATTCTGCTCAAATTAGAATGCCAACTTTCTTATAGTGAGATTAAAAAGACGAAAAATCCACAAAATTTCCAATGAATATAAAAGAAGCAGCTCTTAATGAGATAAAAACTGTGAAGAATAGCCCTACAGGTCTGAAAAGAAACTTTCCTGATGTTAAAAATACAAATGTAGATTTATCACTTGGGAAATTAATAGCGAAGGCATCTCCACAAAATAGCATAAAGACACAGCTTAAATAACTACATGCTTGGAGCTATAAGCCCGAGCATTAATCTGAATAAGATTAGGTACACTAAGGAGCAAGTGAAAAGAGAGATTGAGAGAAGTTTTAACAGGCCTATTACGCCTACTTCTGAAGCACCCTCTCCTGTATGTTAGAAGTATGAAATATAGGAAAAATAGCAAACTTTGTTTCAGTAAACCATGCTTAGCCAATGACTCAACAAGTTTGAAGTTCAAAGCTAAAAGAAAGTTTAATTACTCAGTGGAAAATATCAAAGGAAGAAGGATAAATGAGTATGGATATGCCTTGCCGAAAGTAGCCCCTGACAGACTTGCCTTGCTAAGACCCTATAGTGATGTGAAAATAGCCTATAACTCAACACCAAAGCCTGTGGCACAGAAGAAATTTATTCATCACAGTATTGATAAGCAGAGTTTAAGCTCTTATGTGAAGGAGGAGTTCAAGAGTATTATTAAATAAGTTTGGAGTCGCTACTCAAGCTGGTTTTAATCCAGTAAATCCATTGAAGTTAAACCAAGATTCCTTCCTGATTACTGAGATAAACAAGTAAGTTATACCTCTAAAAATTAAGTAAGAAAGAGATACTTGACGTTTTCGGTGTCTTTGACGGTCATGGTCCTGAAGGACTCAGCGTCAGCAGCTTCTGTAAAGCCAAAATTCCAGCAATTCTCAAGAAATTTCATGAAAAGAACTTGAAAATAACTGAAATCTTGAAATAAATCTGTGAAGAAGGTTGAAAAAGAGCTATCTAAAACTAATATTGACTTGCAAAATAGTGGGTCTACTTCATGATTTGTGGTTGTTAAAGAAAACCTATTATATTTCGGTAAGAGCCATTCTATTCGAAATGTGCTACTAATTTATAGCAAATACGGGAGATTCAAGAGCAGTGTTCTTTCAGTTTAAGGAATCAACGATCAAAGTGCCAAGAAAAGCAGAGAAGGAAGATGAGTCTTTAGATAATCTTGTGTCAGTGTTTAGTACCACTGACCATACTCCCGAAATTGTGAGTGAGAAGAATAGAATTTTGGAGCATGGAGGGAGAATTTCGAGGTACCAGAAAGATTTAGGACCCCTAAGGTAAGTTCATGCTAATTAATATTAGAGTATGGTTGAAGAATGAGAATGCTCCAGGTCTTGCAATGACAAGATCTCTTGGAGATAGCCTTGCCAAATCTGTAGGAGTAATTTGAAACCCTGAAATCGAAATCCAAACACTTTCCCAAAAATACGGCATTCTTGTCATAGGCAGTGATGGACTCTTCCAATACCTCAAAATCAAAGAAATAGCTGCACTAATCTGGAAACACCGAAACAAACCCGCTAACGAGGTCTCCCAAATCCTCGTTCAAGAGTCCATTCAGCGATGGAAACAACACGAAACCTGCATCGACGACTGTACATGCATAATCATCTACATGTCTACCTAAAATTCCCCAATCTTGCTTCCCAAATCCTAAATTCCCATCCCTCTGCAGTACCCAAAGTTCCTCTTGCCTCATAAAATTTCTTCAGCTGAAGTAGGAACAAAAGAGCCCAGATTGAATTCAATTTAGATATTTTTTATTGGGGTTTTGGGGTTTTGGGGTTTTGGGGTTTTGGGG